GGGATTCGTCATATAGAAGTTTGAGCTGAGTGTGTTTCTGTTGTGGAATAAACTAAGTAGTCAGCATTTAAAACTTTCATGTGGTCGTGTTCCATTGGAGACAGATTATTTTTATTACACCTGTAGGGAATTAGTGGAGAGCTATGAACCTAGCTTCCATCAGCCAGGCATAACTGAAGTTTCAAATGAAGTGATATCTTCTTGGTAATCCAAACCCCAGTCAACCAGTACTGCAATCAGGAATTCTACCACTGATGAGTGTTATTAGATACAAAGTTATGGCAACGAATTCTTGACGACTATTTCCGACTACATAATAATAATACAAAGTGTACCGCGATGGTGCATCTGCATATTTCAAGCTTGATTAGTAGAATACAGCCATCGCTAACACTAAACACCAGATACATCCCATTGGTTGCTCCCCAGGTTCCAAGAAATTCAGAAGCCGATTATTTAGCTCCAACAGAATAAACGAAGAGAAAACACAAAATATAATACAGTAGCAATCATAAGGGGTTGTATGCATTTATATGATTTAAGGTAATAGTTCTAATAATGCTTAAGAGATAGTACATATGTTTTCTTAAACAACAATGGTCAGATTGTCTTTTTGAAAGTAACAGATGGTATGATCTCGATTTTTACTACTCAAAGTTTTGACAATTATTTTCTATCATGTCACTTGATCAGTGTTGGCTGAGATCCTGGACGTGCATTTAGTCTTAATTGTGACTCGGCAGCGGGATGCACTTTCTTACCTTTCAGTGAATGATAGGTTTCTGACTGAGACTCGAACCCAACACCAACTGATTCAAACCCAAATGCATTCCCACAGAGAGCCAGCTTGTCAATACGAATCACTCAATGAGCATTACAAGACAATTTCAACAATTAATAATTTCAATCATATCTGACTGTGGTTAGGTTTCTGCAACCCAAGGAAAATGAAATATTTTATAAATCTTTACTGAAAATACAGAAAATTGAAATTATCTTAGACCTGAAATAATTCAGACGGTGATTTAACCGTTTGATCTGAATGTTTTCACGTGCACCATTAGTGAACTACAATCTGATAATTTTACCCCTCCCCCGAGATTTCGGTAGTCAACAACACTGTTAGAGATGACTGGTTTACAACTACTAACAGTAATATATATATATATATATATATAGCCTGCTTTATGAACAAACAGACATAAACTTAAGGAGCAGATTTTTCAGTTTAGCCATATTTTGTGAATTTTTCCTAATTCACTGATTTTTACGCTATTCGCTGTATATGGGTGTTTTTATTTTAGTGGTGATTATTCACTGTCTACTTGAAGTAGATTAATTGAGTATTCAGTGAGTCATTTGTTTATTTTTTCACTCAGAGTCTGCTTCTGATTTGATAAAATCAATAAAAGACTTAGACTAGTCTTTTTTCTTTAAAACAAATACTCAGTTCGTCAGTTGTTTTTTTACTTTTAAAATCTAATTTTCGCTTTTCACTTAACTGATATACTCCATATTTTTGAAATTATTTTAAATCGAAATGCAGTGGGTTTTAATCATAACTAATTATAGTAATTAAACTGATTGAAAATACCTTTTAATGATTTCTCCAATGAGTAGTAAATTTTATATCCAATGTAGCTGTACTTTAAATGCATTAAAATTATTGAAAGTAAAATAAGAATGCGGCTTATTCAAATCTTGCATCTGTAACAATTATGAAACTGATATCTCAAATCGTGGAAAATAGTCATGAGGACATAAGAGAAAGATATATGACTGAAGTGGCCTAGTGGATAACTCTTTGGCGTTTGAAATGATGGGAGCTGGGTTCAAGTTTCAGTGGGAAAACCATCATTCACGTGGAAAGAAAGTAAGTCCGTTTGATGAGTCACAAATAGAATAAAATGCTCATGCTTTGGATTCAACTGCTGGTCACCACTCGCTAAATTAAAGTGATATGAAACTATTTGCATACTTCATAATTCCAATATAACCATATTTCTTTCTCTTTTGTTGTAGATACGGGTCATGTGAATGTACTGGACCAACTGTCGAACGATGTAAACGAACGGAACATTAATGGTTAAGCGCTAAACCTTTACGTTCAATCTACACCCCCTTCGCCCTAAAATTTGTACCTCTTACTGTTTTGATTAGTTAGTTAGTTGGTCACTGTCAACTCTTTTCTCTTTTAAAACTGAAGCTGATACCCTAGCTCCAGTCGCCCCTATATACTGTGATGAACAAATTCAAAACACTGACGTTTTTCTCTCTAATATACTCATTTAGTATTTTTACTCACTTTCGTTAATGCAAGAAAGATTGTTGTTTCCGATAAAAGGGTAAAATAAAACAAATTATAGGTGGATAGACAGCTGGTAGAAAATTAAATTTTCACATGAAAGTACACCATCCATCAGTTCAGGTTAGAGAAAAAACTCTTAACAGCACAATAAGCGAGAACCTCTCTCTCTCTCTCTCTCTCTCTATATATATATATATATATATATATATCTAAGTCAATAATCACATGATGAAAAGATTCAGCCTATTAATCATGTTTGCCATTGAAAGAGGCTTTAAATTCGATTCTTACTTCTCATACAGGTGACTCAGCTGGAAGTACAGGGAACGACTCAGAATAATAACAGCTTATTTCGAGACACCATAAGCTACTGGTTCCACTATCGATATGTTATCCTGTGCTAACCTTACTAAGTGTAATATGCCTAATTAATTATTTTTTTAATTAGTCACTACATTACCTCACATATAATTACTGATAACAAAACACAAATCAAAAGGACTCAGTTACTTAGAAATGTTTTCTAATAAGCGACATATTCAAATAAATTTTTTAAAATAAAGGTTATTTAGAGAAGAAATTTAAGAACTTATCTTGCTAGTATGGCTTAATTACAGACTCTGAGGATTTACATGTTACCAGCACAAAGGAGGAACGGAAAATGCCACCCCAGCCTGGTGGAATACAGAACCCTTAAAACAAAACTTAAAACGCCCATAGCATCCCTGGGCGGGCTAGACTGTCTATTTAGTTAATATTTAGTTGATTCAGTTTGACCTATTCGTTTTAGCCCTTCGTTTAGTTTGCTACCCTGGAAGGTATATTACAACACATTGGAGCTACACTTAATTAGTTTTCTTCTAAGATATTACTTAGATGCTACACAGAATGTGTACCAGTTGATAGGAGGATTGTTTGAGAACTAATTTACATATGCTCTATGGATGCATAATTATTACAGCCTAAAGGAAATTATTTCTAGACATTATACAAAGCAGTTTTTCTTTCCTTGGGTCCCAAAAGGAACACAGAGCTTCAATTTTTCAAGTTTTGGTAACAATGGTGTTGTTATTTTTTAAGGGGTGCGGCTGCTAGTCTCCAGCCAAACGTTCCATAGTTTGTGGGCTTACCAGTGGATAGTAAACTAGGTGAGGTTAAGGAGTTCGTCGTTAGGAATCGGTACCAGACCTCCCGAATTTAACAACCAACGCAGTACACAGCATGATTTCGGTATATCTTTATTGACTCTATGATTTCATATGATAATGATAATACTGTTACTCAATGAAATGCAATTATATTCAGCAGGATAAAATTTACATTTCGGTTGTTACCACCACAGAAGCTACTTTTTATTTTATTCACCAGTAATTATTATTATTGTTTCCTTGGACACGCAGTGGAACACAAAGCTTCAACAGCACATCTCCATTTCATCCTTTTCTTTAGCATCTTTTTTAACTGACTTTAACTGGCTTAACGATTGCCCATAAACTTTCATCTCCTCCATGTCAACCTACAATGCCACACTCGTCGCTTCTTGTATGGGTTCTACTCGAGCACCTGGCATGTGTCGTCACTCAACGATCAGCTCAGAGCAGGGTATTTTCAGTCCATTTCCCACATATCTGTTGGGTGGGCGATAAGTTTCTGGTTGATTCGTGGTCAGAGGTCCCAGTGACTCGCCTGCCCCTTCTGGTAATCTAATCTTCAGTGTGAATCGAAGGTGGCTATTGATGAAAGCCTGCAGATTGTTAGAAATTGTTTTGGTGATGAACCATGTCTCTGAATCATATAGAAGCACTGACATGACATTAGCGCTGAAGGTCAGGATATTGTTCCTTATGATAAGTGGAGCAGATTTCCACAATGATTTCAGAGTGATGAAGGTTTGCCCTGCCTTTCCAACCCTGGTTTTCACATATTCATGCAGATGAAACAGTGCTGCTAGCCAAATTGAAATTATCTAACCACCCAGGTTGCCTCAGTCTAAACAACGGAATCAGCTTAAAGTACCCCATGAGCCCGGCCTTAAGCCAGTAAAACGGCCGTTCACTGATTATGTTACTTTGATCTAGTTAGCAAACACTACTGATTAATGTAAGAAGTTTTCAACCAATTATTTCAATCAGTGATAGATACAACCACGATTTGTTGATTTCTGTTTATGGTATCAGCCAGACAGCATACTGTAACCTTTGTATTTTCGGTTTTGCAAAGGTAGACTTTGATAAGTTTTCCCCTAGAACTATGTAAGTTACGAAGTGGAAATTTTATGCCATTTCATCAGGAGAAACATGGTCACTTAAATCCATATTTCACGACCTTATTCTTCAGTCAAATTATATGTAACAAACTACAATTTACGGTGTTGTTGTGATCCCTGTATGACGAATAGTCTACTTGAGAAGCTTTATTGTCCTTCTAAGTAACATCTTCGGCTTTAACATCAATGTGAAGCCAGCTTTCAGGTATTCTACATGGATGAAATATTTTCTGAACACGCTGTCGAGAATTATAAATAAACTATCCAGCACTCTGAGAAAGAACAACACCAAAAACATATATATGAAATACACATCCTATCTACGATTTCATAAATACGGTATTATGTACATATAAAGATGAAACATTAATTGTTGTTTTGGTAAAGAAAAGAACAGAAGAATATTTGTTATTATTATTCTCTCACCTGTTGACATATTGCTGCATAACGTGCTAATACATTAGCATTCTCATGAATAGCCAATGAACTTGGATTACGTTCTGATATTTTTAAGACACAACGCCATTTAGCGAAATGACATCCATCCTTTTTATACTGGGAACATCTTTCATATAGCCCATCTAAGCCTTGTGTACTACATTCATCATGTGTTCCTGGTAATGGGACTGTGCCTTTGTCAACTTTAATTCCCGGTACAATGCCTCTATCCTTTTAACGAAAATAAATAAATAAAAGAGAAATTTAAGATTTATCTTGAAAATTTAATTGGCCTAATTGACACAAACACTGTCTTCTTTCTATGCCAGAGACCTTAAACAGAATTCTTAATGAGACTAGAATTAAGGTGATATTTAAACAAACCAACTTTCTCATAGGCAAACTTTGACGGCTTAAGGATCCACCAAACCCAATTAGGAAAAATAATAGTATTTACCAAATATCACATAATTACTGTGAGGTCAATTAAATAGGTTATTCTAGTAGGTAGAGGTCAGTTAGATTCTCGGAACCTAGGAATTAAGCCTTATGTACAATGATTAGCGCTGCTAAGTAACATAGTCTAGAAAAAATTGAGCCATTGGAATGCATTCACTTCCGTGTCATCAGACAATATAGCATGGGATAGGATTAAAGTAATATAGCTAGGTGGAGAGAGGGGTTATATATATACATATATATATATATATATATATATATATATAGATCACTCAGACACTGGCACCTGATCCAATGGTCCATGAATTCCAACTTCTACTGACTTGCGATACATATAGTGCAACCGCCAGCCTATGTTACTGGCAAGTAACTGATCTGTTACTTGACTTGGTGAATCGCTCCAGTTACCACATTTCACTGGAACTCAAGGCGACTTCTTGTACAGAGCCTGTCACTAGTAAGCATCATATTAATCACCAAGTGTTGGTTTGCAGAGATTAGATTGGTTACAGGTTTAATCAAGAGTTGACATCAGTTAGGAAACCATTGGAAAACCTGGGAGTACTTGAGAGCTGTTTCGTCCTAGTTTGCCACTCTTCAGAAGTACACACCTTGTGCCATTGGATCGGGTCCCAGTGGCTGAAAGGTCATCGAGCTCACCTTATAACTGGTAGGTCCTGGTTCGAACTCTGGCGGGTGTGTACTGTGAAGAGTCTCGAACTAGGACGAAACAGCTGTCCATTACTCTCAGTTTTCCCAATGGTTTTCCACCTGATATCAACTCATGATCAAACCTGTAACCAATCAGACCTCTGCACGATAACACTTTATATATATATATATATATATATGGCTGTGAGCGATAAATTGTGTTAGAAACTTCATGCGTTTATTAACACTGTACCGTTCTGAGTTAAATACCAAAATAAACTTGTGGAATATAGAATCATATATTCTACAACAGTACCTAAATTCTATCCTGACATAAAACAGTAAAAGCCTATTTAACAAGTTCCACTATTACAAACAATAGAAGCTAATAAACAAAAGCAATCTGCACAGTTCTCTTTCTTTAATCATATCTTCATCAATCACTTAAAATATTTTGACGTTAGATGGCTGGATGCATTCAGAAGGAGTCCTTGGCTGCATCTAGATCTTGTATCTGTTGACACCTTTCGGAAGGGTATATCTGCAACATTGAAGATTCTAGCCAGCGCCACTCAGTGCTGCAGTTAGAGGTGTTACCACTGTGCTGTTCGGGCTTACGTTTTCCCACGTTTGCCACATTTGATTGGTCAGAGTTGCGGACTTGATTGAGCGCCAACACCAAGGACGAGACATGTGACAATGGTTTCATGTTTAGAGGCCAATAAATGTAATATCTTGATGCGTACAGATTTAGTTTTGAAGTGACAGTTTCACTTATTCGATTTACGATCGATTATTAGTTGGGATTATCTCAATTTACTTCTTCATTTCTTATTATTCTTATATAATTATTAACAAATGGCAATTTGATAACAACTTCAGTACTCATCTATTTTATTTATCGGTATCCATTATGGACAATTTCGGTTTTAACTGTTTGTTGGCTACACGTTGAGAAACACATGGTAGACTAGAACTAGCTGGAATTTTAATTATTGAAAATGCTTTTAAAGCATCAATCGCATCAACACCACCTATCCTCTGTTGCTACTGAAAACTTTCACGCCTTTCATTTGCAAGTTTATTTGTTGGCATGCTTGCCTAGCAATGTGAAGATCCCGGACTTACTCTCTGTCCCACAATAGGACGAGACAGTTATTGAGTAGTGCTACTTGATTTCCACCTACTTTGGTATTATACAATCGACAGAAAATAATCCTGTGAATAATATGCGGAAGGAATCTGAAGTGGATTGAACATACGCTGAACAGACCTTCAAGTGACATCACACATGAGACCCTCAAGAGAGACCTAATGAGTCGGCCGTGGATCCGAGGATGAGATGAAGATCTTGTTGGGAGGAAAAGACAACATGTGGGCAGTCATGGAGCGAGTTAGAAGGGATAGTAAAGAAGTGAGTGCAGTGGAGATGTACCACTGACCTCCTATTTTCTACTTAGAATGCAAAGAACGAATAATTTATGGTAATAAAAAATATTATCCAGGTATGCCTGATATTTTCTTTTCATTATGTCGATGAAATACAAATAAATGCAATAGATGTACTTTTTTGAGAATGGTAATCCTTTGGAAATTCTATTAATAATGAAACTTAATACGTTGTCTTTAAATACAATATAACTACCAAGTTTCTAGACTGACAGGATGATTTCAGGTCAGTCGAACTATTCACCTGTAGATATTTACCTTTTATCTAGGCCAGGGAAACATTGGTACAGTTTTTCATTATTTTAATTTCAATGTACTCTCCATTTCGCTTCTAGTTCAAGTATTGCTGTTTGATTTGAAAATCTGATCTTTTAGTACATTAGAGACAGTAGGCAAGAAGATGTAGTCCTTGATTTCGTGTTTGTTAGCACTCGTCAGCAACAGGTATGCACAACATTAAAAAAATCACAGAGAGGAGGTTAGTTTCCACTTAACTAAAAGTGGACCATTGTTTTAAGCGACAACCACACACTTCATATCTGCAAATCAGACAGTTAATTGAAAAAGAAACACCAGACAAAAAACGTGACATCCGATCGATACTCAGTCATATCATCTAAATTTCTTAATCATCGGTTTCTGTGCATGCCAGTTGGGTGACCAACGTACTCCTATAATATGACATATTCTTTATGGGATGGATAACACACCTTTCTTTCAAAATTACGCGCCAACATAACACATTAATTCAGACGATAACAATCATCGATGCATATTTGTTCAGTTTAACGTAACGTGAAGAGAATCAAATTTCAGACATATAAATATATATTTATAGGTTTGTGAATAGTCAACTTTTAAAAATGTCGAGATTTTGAAATGTTATTCTTATCGTGATGAAACTTTACAAAAATTTCTCCTTACAAGTTAACTTAGTGCATAAAAAATTCTTTATTCAAGTCTAGTTCATTAAAAGCAGACAATCATTATAAGATGTCATTTGTCTCCAAAGATTGTAACAGGAAATAAATCCAGTTATAATAATAGTAACCGCTATAAACGTTGAATCTAAACTATTGAATATTGGCCTAGCGTGTCAGTGTTACGATCTAACTAGAAGTTAAAATGCAACGTGTTCAACAGTGATAAGAGACAGAATCTAAAAAATTTGAATAAATTACTCAAGATCTTAACAAATAACAGTATCTGCGACGGTGGGCCGTGGGTTCGAGTTCCACTTCACCTACTCCAGCCTAGACAACTGTGTAATATCATTATCCCTGACACAGTAAGTGTGGCTCGTATCCTGGTGTATGAAGTATCTGTTGTACTGAGTGCGCACCAAGTGTATTTACATCACCTAATGGACTGACTATTGATTATATCTCAGCAAGCAGACAAAAGTCTTATTTGATATTTGAGAACTTGCGTCATCTTTAGCAAAGACATGATATTCGGCTATCAGTCAAAAGACGTGTTCACTACACAACAATTCGCTTCATTCTTCTTTAAGGCTATGAGATATGACAATTAGAAATGAAAGATAAAAGGCCAGCCATCTTTGACTAAACGTACCTTCAGTCTATCTCTCATGATAGGTAGTATTATATGGCCACTAGTAATTAAGTTAGACATACAGCAGTGAGTAAGGAGGGGAAGTCATTTGATGAAATCATGGATCTGCATGGATTGAGATGGCTAAGACGTGTGTTTGTCCTGCCTAGCTATCATCTTCCTTCTCTAGCAGTGTTTTCTGACGCAGATCTGGGTCGGAAAAGAGCTAATGATGATCAAACCAAGACATGGCATCAACGCCTGAAGTCTTTGACGGTCGGTTTGTGTAACAAAGGTAGATGTAGGCAATCAGGCTGAGATCCCCGAAGGTCTAAGAACCAGTTGTTAGTTAGCGTTGATGATCCGGTTCAAAGCCGTGATAAATCACTAAAATTCACTTACTGTGTTATGAGTTTCCGGATTCGTTAGATTCTTATTATTCTCCATGTAAGTATTTTTTGTGGCAAACTTGTGTTTTACTATAGTTTCCTTGTCATTTTTTTACCTTTGCGTTTGTTTTATAAAGGGTCTCAACTTGATCTGCGGTATTTTTGTGCAAGGTACTATTTTGAAAATTCAAGTACAGTTTAGATAGACAATACCGAATCTGCTCCATATTTTGAAGAATGATCATTTACAGTTGATCTATTTTACACTCACTGAGGAGGCCGTCGGGTGACATCGCGCGTCAGGCCGTCGAGTGGAACCCGAAAGGGAAGCGGCGAGTGGGACGTCCAAGAGTGACATGGAGGAGATCGTGTGAGGAGGAGATGAAACAGTATGGAATAACATGGATGCAAGTGAAAAGTACAGCAGAAGACAGAAGCAATTGGAGACGTGCAGTTGAAGCCCTATGTTCCACTAGCAACCCAAGGGAACAATAATACAATGATATAATTTTAGACTAATAATTTTTATGATAATTCACATTTCTACTTCCTATAAAAGTCTAATGTATTTTGAATCACACACTCCTCATTCACATCAGTTGGAAATAAAAAGGTTTTAAATTAGAAAAACATAGATCAGGACAGAAAAACACAGGAATGTAGAAGTTTAAGTTAACACACACACTAAAACAGGACTAGTGCAATCGGTTTCAAGTATGCAGTGAGTTTTGAACCACATTTTTATCACACGTCCAGAACTCGAAACATTAATCGGAAACCCACGTGCATGACTCAAAATACAAATACCTGAGAGTATCAAAATGATCGAAATTTCTATTTTATGGATTGATTACCTTTGGGTACATTTTATAGCTGTCAATGTCCAATATACTGTTCTTGAGATTTACTGTTTTACTGCAGACAAAGGTATAATGATGAGTTCTGTTTTTAGCACTACTCGTGTGGTTTACTATTGTTTCATGCATTCTTATGACATTGATCTGAACAAGATGTCCTGTTTGTGCTTAAAGTTCAGATATTAATGTTCTGACTCCTGAAAGAAGTTCTATATTCAACGTTCTACGATAAAAGTCAATTTTACGGTAAGCATGCAACTGATGGTGAGACCAGTTGGGATACTCTTAGTCTGACAGATGATATTTGACCTCTGACTGTAATTGAGTGTAGAACTTTGCACAGAAGTGCATTAGTTCAAGCTGTCATACTCCATGTAACACAAAAACGTACAGAAAAAGAAACAAATAAAATTTTTAAAAACAAAGGAAATATAATATGAACGGAAATGTGCTGAAGAAAGATTACTTACATGGAGAGACATTAGGATTTAGTAGATATTGGAGATTACAGAGACTGAATGCATTTGCGCCACTAAGAACAGCTTTGTGCCATTTCAGCATTATTCTGAAGCCATTGGTTCTCTGAATCTCGAGGACGCTAACCGGACAGTCTGAACCTTCCTACGTAGCTCAGGCTAACTGTCAAAGACTTCACATATTGATTCTGGGATTTGATTCGACACTTTTCCAACTTAATCCTCAGTTCGCTGAGGAGGGTGATGGTTTGAAATCCTAGCTACCTTAATCGACGTGGCTTCACAACCACATTGATTGACTTTCCCTTCATAATTAACACCCAGCCCATAACCTCATTATAGATAATCATAGCGTACAACTTAACATGGTAGGTAGAATGCAAACACCTGTGGTCATAGAGAGCTGACCTCTTCAGATCTTTCAATTCCAGTGACCATATCACACAGCCATCATGGAGTACAGAGCAAACTGCTGTGCAATGCACACGTCCTATGAGTGATAGCGTGGTATCACACCTAGGTGAAAGATGATGTTAGCTGGCAAATGCCACACGAGCCTTTTGTTAATTTTGTCAGCGATCAGTCCATTAGGATTAATGCAAAGTCTCAGACAGATGAAGCTGTTAAAATGCTCAATCAGTTCACTTTCTCTTAATACTCGGAGTTGAATTAGACAAGTCCTAGAGCGTCATCTTACATTTCACACGACGAATTGAACATTCCTGCCGAAAGTATTCATGATTCTATCAGAGTCTTCACTTAAAAGGACAATATTAATCCGTATACTCTGAGTTCACAAAACTGTTCCCTGGTAAAGAGTCAAACCCTAAGTCTTTGAAGTCAGTTAGGGTCTATTCCATTAGTACATCTATGATTAAATCAAACAAAGATGGTTTAAGAGAAAGTGCGAACAGGTTTAAGCAGCGGCAGGATTCAAACCCAGCGCCTTCCAATTTCTAGTTTTGCACTCAAGCAACTTATCTACGAGACCGAACTGCTAACCAGGCCATTATTTAACTGGGTAAAGTCCAGCAGCGGAGATGTGGCTCATTAGCTCAAGCACTTGGTTTTCATCCTCTGGGTCACGTTTTCGATTCCCATTCCATCCTGGGAAACTTAGTAGTACCATCAGCCCTATGTGGCTCTTAATCTGGTACATGAAAAATCCACCCTGGGTAAATGAATTCAAACAAATACCCAGCAGTAAATGATACGTTACTGTCAGCTGATCACCAAAGTAACTACCTGGATAGGTTAGTCCAAAAACAGGTTTAGTGTCTCTATGCGAGAAGCCTATTTTATGACAAGTTTGCAATTGGAAATGTATGTGAGCATGAACTAAATGCAATTTTTTCTTTATTCCTTTACTTTCCCAGTGTAACATAGGACTACATGGTACAGCTTTGAAGTTTCGGTAGCAGTGGTGTTTATTTTTACAGGATGGGGTTGCTGGCCTCGTGCCCAGCCTTCTCTCTTCACCAGTCTTGTTACTGGCTTAGCTAGGTAAAGGAGTGTGTCGGCCGAGGATCGAACCCCGAACCACCTACGTGATTGGTGAGCATTCTACCGCTCTGCCACCGACACACAACTAAATGCAATAGTTGTTGCATATGTGGTTAATTAATTTCAAATATGATCAGAACATAAAACTTAGCACACCCTTTAGATCTTACTACTCACTTGAAGAAGTCTGATAAGTGGAAATCCATCGTCAGCCTTTTGATAAAGTGTTTCATGATATAAAATAACTCCAGAAATATTTTTTGCTAGGGCTGGGTCAGTAGAAAATAGAAGTTGTCGATAAACACGTCGATTCTCCTCTGTATTTTCAAGGTTAATTGTTTTGAATCGTTTTCCCAAACTAGCTAGTATAATAATTGGAATTCAACGCACAAATATTCTGTTTTTGTGTGATATACTTACGGACACTTTCATCAGCTGCAAGTATACCTTTCCCTGGGGCTACTAATGCATTTGCAATATCTCTTAATTCCTTCTGTTTCCCTTCACAAAGGTATTCAGCAAATTTAAGCGTTGTATGACACATTTGCGATTTGCACAAATTATGACAGAAGAATTTAAACAGATCAATTGACCAACTATTATATTGATTTTGACTCAACAACACTACGTATTCGTCACGTGATCATATTCGGAAAAAAAGATAATGATAATTAATTTTACTTGAATAGTGCAGAGTAGAAGTACATTGAATGTCACTTTTTGGTGCTAATAATGACGATGACCTGAATTTAGGACTTATTTAACCTCAGTAATCATTGCTATCAGTCTGAAAGAACTAAAATTACGTAGTAATAAGAGGAAGGAATAGTTCTCACATTCCATAGTAATTTAATCCAGCTTGTGACCAATGAGGTACAGCAGGGTGGATGTGACGACAAATACTCACCGATGACATTGGCTAGTGGTTGCGCTATATCGTGAATTGGCAGAGGTTGGAATTCATGCACTGGTCATTGGATCAGTTCCCAGGGGCTTAATGGTCAACAAGCCGCCTCGTAACCAGAAAGTCTTGAGTTCGAACCTCATTGGGAGCGTACTGATGAAGAATCCCAAGCTAGGACGAAACAGCTATCGAGTACTCCCAGCCCTTCTAATGGTTCTCTAACCGATGTCAGCTCATGATGAGATCCTGTAATTAATCCAGCTTCTTGTACATCATTCAATTAATTCACTTGTGCTTTTTTCCCATAAATGCGCACTCACAAGGCAATATTTAGACACTTCAGAAAAAAATCCACAATGCATTACACTGGTCAGGCTGACAGACATGAGAAATGACACGTTTGCGTGGTTGTCTAACCTTCAAGAGAGAGAAGACTCTAGGAGATCAGGTTTTCGGGAGTGACTGTGTCTCATGTCGCACAAACTCAATGATATACAAAAGAAAAATCAACAAGTTGACGGAACAGGCAGAGGAAGAAAGAAATTCAAGGGAACACAGAGAAGACAGAGGTGATGAACATACTCGACTGACAAAATTAAGCACCATCAAAGTGAGAAATCTGAAGGAGGTCATATCCTTAACCTACCTGATCGTTTCAACTTCACGTGGCAGGGATGAGGATGTCAAAGCCAGCCAAGATCAGAAAATAAGGATAGCTCCCCATTGCTCTAAAATCATTGTGAAGATCCGCAGCGCTCAGTACAAGATCCGAATTCTCAAAACTAATGTCAAGTCATTGCTTCTATTTGGTTTAGAGACTTGGAGTGTTTGTCACGGAGAACATTTGCAACAGACTGTAGATTTTGATCAACAGCTGTTGGCCAGAAAAGATAAGCAGGCAACAAGAAACTCTGGCAGCAAATCAGCCAACACCCTATTGCCCAACTAACGAATATGCAGAGGGAAATGGAGATGGATATACGCTGAGGAAACTTCCACAGCACACCACACGCTCTAGTGAAACTCGAATCGAAAGTGATGAGTTTGGTACGCATCCAAGTATGACAATGTGAAAAGGAAATCAAGTCGAGTCTGCTCAAAAGTGATGATAGGTATCCGAGTACAATAAATATGTGCCGTTAAGGCCTTTTTTCTACTCAGAACGCATAGAACGAATAGTACAAAGATAAATCCCGGTTAAGAATTAAATCTTTTCAATAGTATGACTAATCAGTGAGTGGACTTTGCTTTTAGCAAAAAGCAAAGTTCTCAGCAAAGATAAACAGATTGGAAAGTATGTAAATTGTAGCTGGTTGTTTAGTATGCAGTATATCTATTCACTAAGTAGTTTGACGTGTCATTTCAGCATGTAGGACTATTGGTCACTTTTTTTTTCCTTCCCGTTCCCCAGTGGAACATAGGGCTTCAAGCTAGTGGCTTGAAGTTTCTGTAGCAGTGTTTATTTTACAGGATGGGGTTGCTAGTCTCATGCCCAACCTTTCCTCTTCACCAGCATTATTTCTGGCTTAGCGAGGTAAAGGAGTGCGTCGGCCGGGGATCGAATCCGGACCATGTGCATGGTCGGCGAGCGTCTTAACCGCTATACCACCGACGCACTAGGTCACTAGGCAAGCTTAAATTGGTTAACGAAACACATACCACCAAAATATGACCACACAGACCGTGAGCAGCTATCGGTTCTCAACTCAAACAGCCAACTGGATTTTAATGAAGTTGGTAGTGAGTCACACCTATTGTATGGAGGCTAGTGATAGTATCTGGATGTCTAAATCTCATTAGGTGGAGCAGAGTGTAAACTGAGTCATAACCCCATAAGCATGGATTCCTCTTCAGTTACTAGTTTTTTATCTACTTAAGCTTTTATCACTGCTATTCTAGTCTGTCTCGATTATTTTGCTTTATTTAAATTATTTAACGATTCAAGCGAACATTTATGGAGGTTATTACTTTAGTGTTCATCTGTTTGTTTGGTTGAATCTAAGAAGAGGGTTGCCTTTTGTGTTGATGAAAACCCCTATCTCAAAAACTGATGACTTAATATTATTAATATGAAATAATTTAAAAATCAATGACTACGTGTCCCCAGAATGAACTCAAGGCGTGGTTCCAAGGCATAACTTATAACCTTAAGGTAACTACTACCAGTGACTGGCTAAAGAAAAATGAGCTTTGGACTGATTGTAGCATATCATCATGCTGGCTTTTAGATTGATTTTAATGAGGACGCACTCCCCCCACCATCATATACTAGCAGTAATAATATTATAGAGTAACCTACATCGAAATTATATATATATATATGCACTGCTTGCCTATATGAAATGTGACATGTTTGCCAACCACGCACGTGGTTTGGGGTTCAATTCCCAGCGGGAGCATTCCTAAACCTCACCTAGCAAGCGCATTAAAGAGAGTGAGGCTCGCAACCTCACTTCACGAAGAAACGAACAATACCAACCCTAATGGAACTTCAAGGCGTCAAACCTAAAGCCTTATGTTCCATTCGGAAAGCAAAAGAATGAGAAAGTTACTCATATTCTGATCGTTTCTATTTGACATATTAAGAATATAGAAAGATGAAAGATACAAGTCATCGAGCTTTACACGGATTACATGTATTGAGTTAATGATACCAGTTGACTGCTCAAAGCATGGTATGTATTGGAGGCGAGGGGGGATGCACCTCAATGAGGACCAAATGATTAAACATCGTAAATGTGTTGTCACAAGAAAGAATAAATTTTCTTGTCATAAAATCAGTTTTTTCTCCATTTACTTTAGTTTCAATAAAGTCTAATAGGTTACAAACAAACAGGCAGACAACAGAAAACTAGATACAGAATAAGAAAATAGGGGAGAAGGAATCCAGTCAATACAATACAGGAAGTAAAATAGAATAAACAAAGATACCTAGGTATATAAGTAATACATGCTGTTTTTTGTACAAGATTACGTAAGTATCTTACAGATGGAATAATTCGTTACTATTATTACTCACATTAGAAAACTATCTGACATAGAAAAAGGCAATAAATAGAATTAGGTAGTATCTACTTATTTAGGGTAAGATAGAGGAATGTTTGAAAACAAATGTTATACACACAACACACTCAAAGTTATTCTATACAACAAACTTGTAATCTGTTAAAAACACCCTTATGACTGTGTGTTTCTTCAAAAAACAGTGTTATTCTCCAAAACTTCGACTGCTGTCCGGTCTTGTTGAAACGTCATGTGAACCATTTTGAATAATATTATCATTATTACTTGTATCGATTTGTGTGAGCATGGGTTTGACATGATTGAACCAAGGATCTTCTAAGCAGTCAACGGCTGAAGGGCGATCTCTGGAAATATGGGAAAATAATAACCAGCTATGAAGAACACGCTTCCTACATAAAATGAAAAAACTGAGAAATACTTGCCAAGCCATAGTTTAGCCTCTGGTAACATAAAGTTGGCCGAATATTCATTTTCGAGTGTCAGTTTGCATAGATTCGATTGATTTTAAGTTTACCCATGAACTGACTTCAGTTCAGAACCACTGAAAACCAGGGAGTACTGAACAGCTGCTATGTCCTAGTTCGTGGCTCTTCAGCAGTACGCACCAATGACACCACCAGGGATAGGACCACGGCCTTCAGTTTATGAGACGAGTTGGTTAACCATTTAGCCAAAGGGGTTTTAATCCAACAGCCTATGAGTTCTAATTTCTGTCAATTTCGCGAAATAGCGCTGCCACCAACCAAGAGTAAAATGCAGTGACTGCTGATATCGTGACGTATAGACTAAAATCGTATAACAAAAGCTTGCCGACAGATTGAAGGATCCAGATACCTTATCCAATTATATGGTTTCCATGTATGATTTTACATGAATTATTTTGAAGACAATCCCAAACAGACGTGGAAACCAGTGATAGAATCCTTGAAATGTAGGAATTACTGAGTCGGTGACTGAATAGTTATGGTTTCAGTATGTTACGAGACATGCGACTGGTTAAGATTTCAGTAGACACATCATGACAATCCCACAAAATCACACCTGTGATTTCATATTTGTGGTTTAGCTGATTCTACACATCACAATTTCTAACCATTATGTGGAGACTTTTGAGGAGCCCCGTATTATGACTACTCGTTATCCAATATTACTTTATTGGATGCAAATTATCCACGTGAATAGCTACAAAATCTGCATAATTAGCACGATTTCCAACTAAATTTTCTACGCTACTTGTAGATTTGACAATGTCAAGATACTTAGGCATTTTCATTTCGTTTGATAAAGTTTTTCGACGTTTAACTGTCAACTGTTAAATGATAACATATAATGCCACTTAAGGGTACATTTTCAATTTCCAAAACACTAAATTAAACAACTTAGTATTATTGATACATATAAGTAGTGCATAAATTATATTCTGTTACTGTTGAGCTGGATGAAGTCATCTATAATGTGCTAACAATGTTTATATGAGAAATGTGTCATTCATAAGACCAATCAGATACTGCTCAAATTGGTCCTCGAAAAGCGTATTACGTAATGTAAGGTGTAATCTAGAAGGGGTAACTAATGGGAAATTAGAAAAGGGGCAGAAGTTGGCATGACGTAATAAGTGTGAGAAAGTGACCAATCAATATGTTTGTGTAGAGTGGACAAGAATAGTGGAAAGCCGATAAAATGTTTTGGATCGGGTCCCAGTGGCTTAATGGTATACGAGCTCGCCTTGTAACCAGAAGGTCCTGGGTTCGAATCCCGGTGGGTGCGTACTGCTGAAGAGTCCCAAACTAGGACGAAACAGCTGTACAGTACTCCCATGTTTTCCAATGGTTCTCTAACTAATGTCAGCTCATGATGAAAATCCTGTAACCAATCAAATCCCTACAAACCAACACTTGAAAATGTTTTTATATAAAATGTGTATGAAAACGCGAAGTTATTAATAAAAAGTAATTGAGTGATAGTAAAATAAGGATGATAATAATAATAGTAGTAAACTTACATAATAAAAGGAAGCAAAATTATGGTGAGAACGTTACTCTGACCATGGTCGTCTTTCCCCTAGTTCTTGTCCCTCTACACAACCATAGTGATTGGTCATTTTCTTACGCCTATTACGCCATGCCAACTTCTGCCCCTTTTCTAATTTCCGATTAGTCACCCCTTCCAGATTACACCTTACATTAGGTAATACGTTTTTCGAAGACCAATTTGAGCAGTATCTGATTGGTCTTATGAATTCCTTATTAAATATATAATTACGATCATACAGCTTATGAAAATGAATCGTTGGAAAGAAAATTTTCTTCGCTGTTTACGTCTTTTTCTTATGACTCAATATGGGAATATTTCGTTCATATATATATATATATATATATATATATATATATATATATATATATATAGAATGCTGGCCAGCCCTGTGGCTTCAGTTCTCGGTGAACACACACCTAGACCTTGCCTTGTTTACTAGCTGACACTAAGCCCTAGAGAGAGGCAAGGCTGATCATAGAGCTAGTAACCATACACCATAGTAACACCACGGCTACTGAAACCTCAAACGTTTGAGGACCTATACACCAATCAGAATGAAAAAAAAATGAAACGCATTTACAAGAAATACTAGTTCTATAAACATAAAAATGTTAAACACGTAACAGTACACCAGAATCGGTGATTTTTTCCAAACACTTTTTAGGCTCATAAATTCAGTAATCATAATAAAGCTGAAGTATAACACAACACATTTGCACAAAAATGCACTATAAGAAAAATGTAATTTTATTAATTCACCAACTTCAACAAGAAATATAGGCGCAAATTGTGTAATGTGAAACTGTATTAGTTTTTTTTTTTCAATCGCAAAAGCCAGGTATGAAATGTATCAGATCAAATTTGTAACGGAAAGCTTGAGAAATAAGAGTTTATACTATAATTAGTGATACTTTTATATGGATTGCAGTTTTTTTTCTATTTATTTGGTTTATGTGAATTTTTGTATCAAAAGTGACTTTTGACTATGTGGAATCAGGTAATTCATGTCATTGGCTTCGATTTGTTTAGAAATAGAAGTTAGCCACACTTTCACACTACTGAACAAGAAAGCATTGTATACACAGTTATGTGAATGTAAATCACTGGGAACATGAAAGAATGGATCATAAGGCGCCATGGTTAAAGTAAGTAGAGAAACTACACTTTAATAAAGCAAGATATACTTATTTCTGGTGCTGTTGTGTTCTCTGAACTGGATGAATTGATTGCAAAGCTTTCATTGTCCTTCTAGACAACATCTTCAGTGCCACAGTAAACGATCTGGTACGGCCGAAGGTGGGTAGACGTCGCACTTCCGACCGAAACGCTCCTATGTGGTCAGGCGTTCATAGCCTCTGTCAGATAGGTCATATTCATTCCCATCACGCAGCGGTGGCGGGTCGTCACAAAAGTGAAACGGTAAGCGCAAACGCTTGGCGTTTACAATGGAATGGCTGGACATGCAGGAAGCTAGAAAACGCTAATTCGAAAGCAAATGGTGTATATGGACTCAGGAATCCAAAAAGACAGAACAGTGTATTGACCTGCTTTAGTCACCGGAATCCATGGGAACCCAGCTCCACTGTCTTTTGGATCAAATTTTAATTCAAAGGTTCGAGGTGTTGCCCCTTGTGGCAGCTACTTGTTTCACTCTGTGAGTCCGGGCATTATACCGGCCTTCACACAAACTGTGAGGAAACATTTCGTATGGTGCATCAGTTGGTGTCCATTATGTAATAAGTTTTTGTCTTAATAATACAACATCCTCAGTGGTAACTTCAAGGTAAACTGAGCCTTAAAATTCCCCACTGGATGAACTATTTGTTTCTCCTGGTGTTCTTCAGTGTAATTGGTGGTTCCTGTCAATTTCCTGATGATTGGTCCCCTCATTGACTTGATATTTGATCTTTTGCTCGTGTGACCTATTTTCTACCAACGAATGAATGTGATCAATATCCGCATGTGTATTAATTTCAAGTCGATTTAAGTACCAAGCTTCTAGGAATCCTCTGACTTGTGTGCCCCTTGGTCTAAGATTTTTGCATAGCCCCAGTTGAGCTGATGTCCACCTTAACTGATATAAGTGAATACACATTATCTCTTTTGACTGTTAGTTCAATGTCATGAGTTTATTAGAAGATGAAGAGGACGTTCGATTTCACCGTGTGTTTTCTGCAATCTATTTTATAAACGACAATAGTTTTATTGTCTTTCAGTTTACATAGTATGTAGCGAAAAGATCATGTTGGTTTGTGAGCGACAACTATTCTAAGAGGTTTCGGTATTCTGTAGGTGATTTCGGAAACATTCTGAAAGTATGGTATAGTCATTTTTCTTGTTGTTCCACAGGACGATTTTGGTTACCTGAAATGATTATATGGTTTCCCAAACATACATTTTACTGGGATATGCTCATCAAGTGTCTCTCTTCTATTCTTCTCAAGACAAGAGTGTTGTTGTGTGTTTTGGCTCCACCATAAAGAGATGAACTTAAAACAGGACATTAAAAATTCCTTTTTTTTAAAAAAGGATGAAGAGAAAAAGTTTTTTAAAGCAAAATAAGTCACTACATGTACTTTTTCTGAGCATACAACAGGAAACTCATTTATATTTACTGTTTTCAAATCCACTTACCTTGGATCCTTTTGAATTAAACGTTTTATGAAAGAAATTGCTTGAGGAGTAATATCTTGAAATAAATGTTCATCATAGCTTATTTTCAATTGGCAGACATTTAGAAAAGTTTGTTCTTTACTCTCATTCCAAAATGGACTTTCACTAGTCAATAAATAATAAACAACAACACCGACACTCCTGGAAAAAAAAATAAATACGGCGAATATAGATAATAGACAGAGATTAAGGAATTTCAAATGTGAGGTTAGAAAAAAGGTGTAATTTTGTTACAAATAGATTTATAAACGTCGAATTTTAAATTAATTTCAGCTGTACAACTGTCTGCTGTCCAGGTTATTTATATTTGTGGTAAATATGCAGCAACTATCCCTTGATCAAGAATCTCGTATATTTTCTTAACTTATTGAGAATAAATGCAACCGATGACTTCTGGTGTGATTTTGTTCTGCGAAGTGGATGAATACTTGATTGAAAAGCCTACATTGTCTTTCTAAGAAACACTTCCAGAGCCACCTGAAAAATGAAGTTGAAAACTTAACAATTAAACTATCTAGCTGAAATGACATAACACCGAAATCGTCTACTCAAGTTACAAAACTTCTCAATTGTACCAAGTACAACAAGGGGAATTATGCAGAGTGGTATGAAATAAAGCGTTTACAGGAGAACCACTGAAACTAAGGTGACACAGTTTAGCAATTTACTGCTACGTTTGAACATATACTTACAAATTGAAATTATAAGCTAGTTAATTTACAAGAATATATGACAACAGGAATAGCAATATATTTGTAAGGAATTATAGCGTCAGGTGGTTGGAGGCAATCGATACGAAGTCTTAAATACCTTTTCGGTGCCTGCTGGCACTCGTCCAACCTCAGATAAACTAATGTCCCCAATGAAATTCAAACCCAAACTGGGCAGTTTTGCAGTCAAAGACTTTATTCGTGGGCTATTCGGGCTGCTGATTGACTTCCTGTAGGACAAGTAATGGATGCACTGATAAGTTAGCACGGTGTATAACCAGTGTCATCTATCTAGTCCCTACCCTTGGTGTTGACTGAATTCTACCAATCAAGTTTGCAATGTGGTCACCAAGTTAGGTAACTGGTCATCGAAGGGCATTTTACAATGATAAAACACGGTCAGAGACGAACAGCAAGAAGTCGTAAACCTAGGTTTCTTTCTTGATAGCATACATCAGCAAGGCATATCAACAACCTTAACCAATCCTTGCAATTACTGACTGTCTAGTGATGTTGCTTTTACTCCTAATTGTTTACACATTTTTAGATAGGTAATGTATATTCTCATTATTTTGATTTTCACTTTGTAGTAGCATGATTGTTAGTAGTACTGTTAAGTGAAAACAGAAGGGATGATTTTTCAGTCTTCTCGACTGTCTTTCTTAGTTCGGTTTTGGAAATAGTCTTATAAGTAAGTAACGCTCACCTATTTTATATTTTACTACTCTGGTTATCCAGTAGTTCAATTGGGCTCTGCAGTATAAATGGAATCCACATCGAAAGGCTTTTAAAACCAAAGCAAATATTCCATGATTCATAGATTGATGGAAAGAAACTAACAGTCTTCACAGCTCATGTTGATTTAAATCCCACTATTTTATCCACAGATACTTTATATCCAGAAGTCTATAAGACAACTTAACTTCGTGATGTGGAACATCCCAAATTCCTGCCTACCATCATATATGACAAACAGTGCGAACCATTTCCTTATCAGCTGACCTCTTTTCCCTGAGAACACAATGTAGGCAGTGTTCTACTTACCTTTAAATTCTCATTAAAACGGGTGATTTACTGACTTTGTGTCAGCATCTCAGTAGGTAGCCAATACGCTAGTTTGTCAATGATCAAAATACGTCATAGCATATTATTTTTATTTACTAGATCACAAAACAGGAACAGTATTATTTATTGGATGATAATTGATGTGATTATAAAGAATAAATTGTGTCTGAAACATTATCCAGTAAATAACTGTTTCACTGCATGTGAAATACCTAATAAACAAATTAATATAGAATTGCATCTAAACACAGTGTTCAAGGTTTAAGTATATCAAAATCCATCATTTGATACACATGCATTTGAGTGCATATTACAAATGCATGAGGAAGTCGACAGCGAAAAGAACTGCCAAACAAATTATACAGTCAATTTATACCAATATAAAAGTAAAGACAGATCGAGCAGAATGATATAATATCATCGTTTTATTCTTGGACCTCGTCAACTGCATGAAAAGCTAAAATAATTTTGATATCACCAATATACAAAATATTCCAATAGTTTATTTAGCCAGCACAAAGATGAAGACCATCAATATATTACGTAATCAAATAGTGGAAGAGAATGAATAAAAAGTGTTATTATGCTCACTACTAATAAGTAGGAATAATTACAAGAGCATTCTAGAGTTAGGAAGGGAAGTTGGAAACTGACTGGACATCTAAAATGTGATAGCACATGTCACTTAAGTGCCAATAATTCAAGTAGCTTAAAAATACCCCATTAAGTCATATGAAAGAAGAGATGTTCAGCGAAGAGTTACCCTTCTCAGTAATATCATTCTCAAGCTGTACAATTGCATATAAGTATAATATATTTTCACAGCAAACAAAGGAATGTTTCTAAAGATGTGCCGTTATGTTGGCCGTAATAAGCGTTTGTTATCCAAACATTCACTCTATTTGTGTTACATAGGAGAAAAAAGATATCCCCGCACATATATTCTGGACACCAAGTGTAGTCAAAAATCAACTTCAGTCATCAAAGGATTACTTGGAAATCTCACTAAAAGATTACGAATCAAACTCCCTCAATCTGCAGAAGTTATGGCAGTCGACATGTTAAATCCTGAACTTTGCATACAGAGGTTTGTTCAGGCACTGAACTTACAAAGCACCGAATCTGTCCTAACTTTAAACGTGTAATTTCTTTATTTTGTTATTTTTTCCTTTCCGACCATTGAATTTCCACACCTTATGACAATGGTCTTAAAGCTTTTTCCATTTTAGTTTGGCTCTGCCCAATCCTGTCAATTGTGTTAGGTTGTAGTGACCCATGTTATTACTCATCATAGTACTATACTTTCATTGTGTAATTGTACTTTGATTTCTTTATTACTCTAAAGATTGCATGTTAACAATTGATACTTTTGTACTCGCTCGATTTTCGAATTTTGATTGCTGCAATAATACACTATCATATTCCTTCGCAAGTGCCTTTTGAATTACGTTGTGGATGTCGAGTAATCGCAACGTTAGGACACTATTGTAAACGCGAAGAAGTACTAAGATATACGTGTACTCTAATTCAGTCAAAATATAGCAGCAACAAGGTCACTCAATTTATTTGTTTAAAAGACAAAAGGATTGAGTGACGAAACATTTGCTAATCAATGAGATCCTTATGCTTACGGCGACCTGCTTACACCTTGGGCTTCCCAAAATTTTCCGTCACTTATATTGCATCTGATTACTTGGATTTATTTTGTTTTAATTATTCAACTATGTGTCCAAATCGTATTACTTACTCTCGCAATTATTTAAAATGTTTTCAACCTGATGATTTACGTGTTTATAATAACCTTAAGAAAAAGCATCATGGTGGGTGGCAACGATCCTTAAAATGTACTCCAATGCATCAGATGACTGTTCCTGTGATTATGAGCACTAATTGCAGGTCATTATCGAACAAGATAAATTACTTGGATGTTCTATTATGTTCAAATATTTACCGTAATACAACTGTAATAATGCTTCAAGAAACTTAGCTCCACGATTCATATGATGACAGTTTAATCTCTATAAATGGTTTCACTATGTACAGACAAGACCGAAGTAGTTCAAGGAAGAAGCGAGGTGGTGGTGTTGCTACTTTTATCAATTCTCAGTGGTTTGATGCCAGCAACGTCTTTAAATTCTCAAATGATAACATTGACTGTATAACTGTCAAATGTCGACCTAAACGCCTGTCTAAGTACAACTTCATTTTCATCACAAACATTTATGTCACACCTTGTTGTAGCACTTCAGAACTACCTATGCTTGTTGATGAATTCACTATTTTCGCTGCCGTTTCTTTTGAAAACTCATTGTCCGTAGTGACAGGTGATTTCAGTTCTTGTGACTGCAGCTTTATTACAGTGCTAGGTCATGAAAATGTTGTTAACTTTCCCACCAGACTGGATGCTTCTCTTGATCTTGTATTTATCAATGACTCCGGAATATACGAATCTCGTAAAAGAGCTCCACTGTTTAACTCAGATCATTGTATTGTACGGGTTTTACCTAAAATTTATGGAAAATTACACAAGAGAACTTTTTCACACCTTTCCAAGAAAAGTGTACATGGATGTTACTCAAAGGAGAATGTTCAGAATCTTAGAGAATGCTCAAGGACACAAGGTGGGACTTGTTTAATGAAGACTGTCTTGATAACACTATCCCTAATATTATATGTTATCTCAAATTTTGTCTTGACACCTGTTGTCCCAGAGAAACACTCTACTCCCCTAAACTTAAAAAGGTTCGCAGGCAAAAAGAAAAGTTATATAAAATGAAGGATAATGCTGGTTTGAAAAGAATTAACATCCTAATGAAGTCTGAAATGCACAGATTGAACTCAATTTACAACCAAAAGTTTATATCCTGTAAAAATGCGTCTAATACATGGAAACGTTCCAAAGAAATTGCTTATTCCTTTGATGTTTGCACACTAAACAAGTCTTTTATACATTCTCCCGCAAATGCCAAACTTTCTAGGGTTGCAAGTGTTAATGAAACCTGCTTTCCTGGTTTCAATACAAATGATGTTCTAAAATGTCTCCAGTCGCTGAACCCTTCTTGTAGCTTAGGTCCAGATGGTTTGCCTAGTGTTATTCTTAAAGTGTATAGATATCCTGTGTTATCCTCTCATGGACATATTTAATGAATCTTTTTCCAGAAATGTCGTGCCAGCCGTTTAGAAGAACACTGAATTGTACCTATACCTAAGTCATCTACTGAAACATGTTTAAAATTTAGACCTATTGCTATTACCTCTCCTTTTCTAAAAACTAAGAAAAATTTACTCTTACTTAATCTTCAACCTTCACTTAAAGCCTTTAACGATCCAAAGCAATTCGCCTACAAACATAATAGAAGTACTTTAGATGCAGCTGCAGTTTTGCATCATAACATTGTCTCCGGTTTAGACGAGGGGGGTAAATTTGTTCGCTGCACCTTCCTAGATTATACGTCTGCTTTCAACTTAATACCCAGGGAAATTTTGTTAAACAAGCTTGCTGAAACTCAAACTCACTATTGAGTTGTCAAATGGCTGCATTCGTATTTCTCAGGAAGAAAGCAGTACACTGTATATCAGGGGAAGTCGTCCACTTCATTGCTCACTGAGGCTGGTGTCCCTCAAGGCTCTGTCCTTTTTACTTTTCTGTTTTCTTTTTTCTTGCATGACTTGCCTCACTCTGAAGAAATGAACTTTTTCAAGTATGCCGACGATCTAACTATTTCAATGTCTGTTAACTCCCAGCTAGATTGTACTAAGATGAACAGCTTTCTATCAGAAGTTAGCAAATGGTCTTCGTCTAATGGTCTTAAACTGAATCCTTCCAAATGTCAGAATGTTAATTTCAGTTTCCGATGTAAAAGAAAGTTAAATGAAGATGTTGGTCCCTATGACTCTTGCAAAACTGATTATACTGATATAGAAACCAAGTCTGAAGTTAAGTATCTTGGATTAATTCTTTCTTCTGACCTATCCTGGTCTTCCCATATTTTAGCGATTTCTAAAAGAATATTTCGTCTGACTTTTTACATTTAGAAGTTAAGGCACTCATACATAACAGTTTGTCAACTCGTGTATTTTACCTATTCTTCTTTACTGTTCACCCTTATTCTTTCCAAGATTGCTTAAAAAGGACTATATCATCCTTCGTAGAACTCTGAAGACTGTCAGTAGTGCGAGTGGTATCCTATTGGGCCATATTGTTGACATCGTCACTGATAGGCACTTGATTTCATGCAACAAATTTGCTAAAGGAATCTTGTCACAATGTGAGCATCCACTTTACCCGCAGCTCCAACCTTGTGTCTCCTCAGGTGAAGAAGACTATATGCACGTACGTCTAAGTATAAAAATTCCACTATACCATATTTGGCACGTACATTATGGGATGAAAATAGTGTTAGGCATGAACTAAATAACCTTCTTAGCACCACTAAATAAACCATTTTCTCCACTCCTACAACATCAACCTCTCAATTTTTTTGTTTTTGTTTATTTTTTCATAAGTGTGAACACCATTTAAGCTGTTATAATTGTTAATTTTGTATTTCCCCTTACCATACTATATCAACAGAACATTAGATTCAATAATCTATAACATGCTAAAATTTCCAAACTGAATCGACAATGCCGTTTGAAACAAACTAACCGTTATTATTATTATTATTATTATTATTATATTTAATATTCTCAAATCGTGCAACGAATATTTTTGACTTTATATCGTAAAAGTGGACAAATTCCTCTCGTTAGTTTTAATTTTTAATTTTATTTATATTTTGAGTAAATCAGGTGCAATATTGTGACAAGTGCTGAGAATTCCATTCTGTATCATAAGTACTGTTTTTGGAATAAAGTAGATTATTATTATTACCTATAGCTCTACTCTACACTATATAGCATTTTTAACACAATACAAAATATTCTACCAATCTAGTGGTGATAGGTTTGTTAACAATAACTAACTGGTCAATATCAACATGTCAAGGAGGTAATAATTAACCAAGTAAATTAACAAAACAATTGAAGGGGAAAAATAATTGCAGACCTAAACAAGTCGATTGTGCAATGCACAATTTTGGAAAAATAGGCAGGTACATTGAGATGACAAGCCCCAGATAGGACAAAATGCGCATTCTGGATTCTACTGCTAGTCGTCATCCACCAAATTACTTCAAAATAGGCAGTAATTAAGGAATAAATTCGTGTTCAAATTGACTACATAATAAGCAGTTGAAGATAAAGTAGTCAGAATGATGAAATAATAAAGACAAAGATAACTTGTGAAAGGCTTAAGAGAAGGGGTAAACTGTCACTTGTGCCGATGTCTTCGGTTAATTATCCCCTGCTTGACTTGTTGACAGTGACTAATTGTTGTTAACTAACTCATCACTGGACTTTCAAGTATTCGTTGACAGAAATTCTTGTGCTGTATTATATACGCCATATATATATATATATATCACAATAGAGTCATAGATGAGGATCTAATTGAAAGTTTAAATGGGATTTTCTTTCTTCTGTATTATTTAAATTTGCCCAAGTTTTTACCTCTTTGATGTCCTCTGTATTGCCTTGGAGTCCTTTGATTACAATCTAAAACCTACACTTTTAATGATACATCTTTGGAAATATTCCTTCTGATGTTATGCGACTGTACAGTTTCAGTATGGTGTCGCTGAACGCCTCTTCTCTCAAGTAATTTTGTTGAGCAGAGTTCAAAAGTAGTCAGGTCAACAGTATGAACAGAGACGAAATTAAGGGTATAAAATTACTCTGTGAAATGAAAGTATCAACAAAATAACATAAAATAAATTCACTATGGTAGGGAGAGATTAACAACAATTTCTTTTTGAATGCATCAGTTCAGTTTTAACTGTTTAACCATCACATATTCAGCAATACACAGTAAGGTTGAACTAGCCTTAAACTTAATTATTTCAAATGATTTTAAAACACCAATTTCATTGACTACTACTATCTGTCAAGTGGTGAGCAATGGCACTGCTGAGGACTTGAGCGTCTTCCTTTCTTAGAATCTACTCAGATATGCCGTCACAAATACTTTTTTCTATAGTTTGGCAGATATGTGGAGAACTGGCGGATGCAGTTTAAGGTAATATTCGAAGTAAAACCACGTTATGTACTGTGTTGTCACATTTTACATGTCCAATCAGTTTCCAACTTCCCTTCCTAACTCTAGAATGCTCTTGTAATTATTCCTACTTATTAGTAGTGAGCATAATAACACTTTTTTATTCATTCTCTTCCACTATTTAATTATGCAATATATTGATGGTCTTCATCTTTGCGCTGGATAAATAAACTATTGGAATATTTTGTATACTGGTGACATCAAAATTATTTTAGCTTTTCATGCAGTTGACGAGGTCCAAGAATAAAACGATGATATTATATCATTCTGCTCAATTTGTTGGTTTTGCTTTGTGGAAGTAAACCAACGGGAAAATATGTCTGAATTTTTCTATATCTGTTAATCACTTAACGCTTCAAATCACGGGCAAATCTATTTCTCATTTCCTTGCGTTCCCAGTGGAACATAGATTATCACACTCTTTACGTAGTGGGGTTCCTATCCCTGTGACTACCTTTCTCCGTTTTTCTGGGCTCACTACCGACTAGTTAACTAGACGAGATCTAGGAGTGTGTCTGCTGAGAATCAAACCAGGACCTCTGACGTGACTGGTGAGAATTCCATCATTGAATCACCAATGCGTAACTCTATCGACAAACTAATTGGTGGTGAGAAAGTCAGTAGAATAAAAATAAATAAAAACGCCATACACAAATGATACTTACCACATGTCTGTTGTAAAGTGAATGGGATCATAGTTCAAAATTTCCGGAGCTATCGACACAGGTGCATTCAAAATAAAAGCAATAATTAGTTAAGTTTTACGACGTACAACTTTTACAGAATGACAAGATATGATCTAGAATTATATTCTTCTTTCCATCCTAAACTTAGCTGATACATACATATAATCGCGAACAACCAGAAATTTTATTATTATTATTGTTGTTCCCTTGGGTTCCTAGTGGAACATAGAGCTTCAACTGCACGCCTCCACTTGCTTCTGTCTTGTGCTGTACTTTTCACTTGCATCCATGTTAATCCATACTGTTTCAGTTCCTCATCACACGATCTCCTCCATGTCACTCTGGGACGTCCCACTCGCCGCTTCCCTTTCGGGTTCCACTCAAGGGCCTGATGCGCGATGTCACCTAACAGCCTCCTCAGCGAGTGTCCAATCCATCTCCACTTTCTCCTGCATATTTTTTGGGCGATTGGTTCTTGTTTTCTTTGTTCCCATAGTTTCTTGATGGTGATTCTTTCCGGCCATCTGATCTTCAGTATAGAACGAAGACAGTTGTTGATAAAGGTCTGCAACCTGGTGGAAATATTCTTGGTGACCCGCCAAGTTTCTGATCCGTATAGAAGAACTGACATGACGTTTGTATTGAAAATCTGAATTTTGTTGTTGATGCTGGGTGACGAAGATTTCCAGATTGGTTTCAGGTTGATGAATGTGTTTCTCACCTTCCCGATTCTCGATTTGACATCCTCGTCTGTTCCTCCCGTAGTTGAGACAATGCTCCCTAGATAAGTGAATGAAGTAACCTCTTTCAAATCACTCCCGTTGATGGTGACTGGCGGAGGATGTTGCTGCTGTTGTTGTTGTTGGTTGGTTATTTTCATAACCTCCGTCTTGTCTATGTTCACCTGGAGTTCTGTCTTTGCTGCTTCTTCGACCAGTTTGTCGGTTTTCGCTTGTAAGTCTTCGATTTTGTGTGACATCAAACATAAATCATCTGCGAAATCCAGGTCTTCTAGGTTCTTCACGTCGGTCCAGGATATCCGTGTCTTCTCGTTTCCCACTGTCTGACGCATAATCCAGTCCACCACAATTAGGAATATCATTGGTGATAATAAGCATCCTTGTCTGACTCCTGTGTTTACTCCAAACGCCTCGCTGAGTTTTCCGTTGTGGATCACTTGACATGTGCCGTTGTCGTACAACTGTTGAATAAGGTTGATGAATATTTGGGGTACGCCGTAGTACTCGAGTAGTTTCCAAATTACTTCACGGTCAACGCTGTCGAAGGGCTTCTCAAAGTCTATAAAGTTGAGGTAGAGGATTGATTGCCATTCCATGCTTTGTTCGATGGTGATGCATAGAGTTGCAATTTGGTCAGAACATGATTTGCCTTTCCTGAATCCAGCTTGTTCTGGTCGGAGTTCTGTATCCAGTGCGTCCTTTATTCTCTCCAGGATGATGCGACTCAGAATTTTACTTGGCGTCGACAGCATGATTCCTCGCCAGTTCTCGCAGAGTCTTAAGTCGCCCTTCTCTGGTAGCTTCAGAAGGTAACCTTTCCTCCAGTCAGTAGGCACCTTTCCCTCTTTCCAAACCTCTTGCAATAATGGAGTCAGCATATCTGCTGTCGTCTCTGGGTCCGCTTTCAGTGCTTCAGGAATTATACATTAAAATAATTATAAAAGGAAAGGAAGCAAAGAAATTTCTACGAAACACTCAACTTAACATTTAAGCAAAGTTCGAACTTTTATGTCAAATTTGACTTCTGGTACAGCAGCATATAACCCCTCATAATTATTCAGGTGAGAGAATTTTAGCAGTTCAAGTTTTATGAGTAAAGTAAGGTAACTCGAGTACAGTAAATCGAAAAAAGAATACGTGAACATATTTGCAACATTTAGCAACTACAAATAAGCTTAGATATATAGCAATAAGCTGTGTTTATTACTGGCTGCATATTAGGATATATTAGGATTAGAAACTGTGACTAAACTGGTTGGAAATTAAGTGTTGTTTATTGGCTAGCTATTCTCCTCTTGCCTTATCATCATTATCATCATCTATCTATAGAAGATCTTTGAGATATTTACTTATCTCGGTCGTGAAAAATCTTCAGTGAACCATTTCAATAAAAGCAAAATCTTATCGTCTCGTTACGTCTTCTTATTATAATAATGAACTCACTACTACACTTTTATATAAGATTTGAAAAATAAAAGTGTGAAGTTGTTCGCATTTTTGTGTACAAGACATAAAGTTGAAGTATCTTCTTAAACTTAAGCCGCACAGAGAACTCAAAAGGAGAAAACCTTTTGCTTCAGAATTCAGAAAAGTTTGATAAGCGATTTGAAACCTTAAGTGAATTGGTTGTATAATTAACCTCTTTAAGTAGAACCAGTACACACTTACTAGAAATAATTGCTTATTTAAAGCTCTCCCCCCTTTTTAATAACAGAAGCTATGTTGATGAGAAATTTGCTGGTCACTAAAAATGGGCAGAAATTACACATTTTTTCTACATATAATTTTGGTGTAATTCGCCAATTATCAAAATATGAACGGTAAGAGAAAATCCTTCTAATAACAAGTCCATTTTCATATTTTTACCGTTAAATGAAGTCATAAGTGTAAGCAAAACATATAAAATTTCACTCAGTGACCAACAATTATTTGATGGAACAGCATACAATATGAACGATTTATGAAAGAAGGCAGCTGCTATTCAGAACAGATCCCTCTGAAATAAAGGCCGTACCGTTATTCTTGGTATAATAACATACTCCACAATATCACGCATTAAAAGTGATTTTTCACGGATAAATACACATCACGAAGCGAAAAACTTGATAAATATGACAAAACTTACCGGCGTAGTCTGGTGTACCTACAAGGTCTCGGATGATCTCGTTTTTCTTTAGATACTTGGCTAGACCAAAATCACATAATGCAATTTCACATTGAGGAAAAGGATGTCGGAGAAGAATATTCTCGGGCTGAGGAAAATATCAAAACGTAAGCGCATAAGCGCATCCAATCTCAATATTTTAATCAAACGACACACAAAATTTACTTTGATATGTATGATCAGATTGTTTGTACTGTATTGTAAAAGCATACTGAAAATGAGTTACCTGCTTTTATTATTTTGTCGTGAAAATCCTACAATCTCAACCCTTAGAATGTAATTTTATCACTGAAGTATACAAAAAGGTGTTTACAATACATAAGTGCCATTTATCAAATTTTATGTATGGATAAGATAACTACAGTCAACATAGTTGTTCAGTACTCTTCGAATTATACAAGTTTTTTTTTCAAATTATAGTAAAAACTGCTACGAAACTAATCAACTACAAACGAAGCAAGTAACCTAACTCTCATATGAACTGGTCAGTTTCTTTTAGTACGTTTACTCCCACTATAAGAATTACATGACAAACAGGACTTACTGTATTTTAAGTAAAATGCTTATCTGTTTTGAAGGTTCTAGTTCTAGGTTTGAATCTCAACATTGTACCTAAATGTTGTAGTCAGAATCGCTAAGACGGAATCACTTGAGTCACCATGTTAATATCGCGAACTGCGGTATTCGGTGGCAATTGCTTTAATCCCTGGAAAGGTGAAATTCTCTTCAATCGTGAAAATATGGACTGCTCATAATTGTTATTGGAATAAGTGTGGGTTATACAAAACTTATTGATTAATTCTAGGCTATAAAAATAAAATCCATAAAACTCACAACACCAGGTCAATTAATTTAACAGTTATTATAAGAACTTCATTACACGATGCCTACAACTAAATAGAATAGTTTCCTGTGACCGACTAAAACATTGCTTTACTCTCAAAGAGATTACGACAATATTTACACGTGCTCATTAAAATTGCAAAAAATGAATAAACTATTAAACAAATAACGGGACACAATGTAGTACACGGATGATTTCAATATAAATCGACATAAACCCTTTGGTCTACTGTCCCCTAACGTATCTATTAGCAATACGCCGAAATTTCATATTGAAAGAAACTTTTGTTTAAAACCAAGATGAAGCCATTTAAAACTTTAGGTCACGCAACAATATCTAGTGACACAAATACAGGATTAAGTGTAAAAAATTCCGTTTATTTGCTCGTCGATGCCGAAGTTCATGATGGCTTGAAAGCTATTCCCCAACCGTATAGAAAAAATGACCAGTTTACATCTAGGCGTAGAACAGAGACACACCCATATATTTACAGAGAACTGATTCCTAATCGTTCAACATTCAAAATAGTGGTTTATGCCCTTAAAATTACAGTGCTACTACGACCAATTACAATTACAGAACAAATTAAGGAAATTACTACCAACCTGAATCAAAAATTCAATTCTAGGAAGCACTTATAGTGTGAAGGGTGGTAATGCTTTCCGGTCTCCAACGCTGAAGTGAACGGGGTCAGATTTAAACTGCAGACTCACTGGCGGAAAGTCAATTAGCACTTATTCTACGTGTATACAATTGATTGATTGGTGTGACAATATTTTCACGAATTTTCTAGCCAGTTAATAGTTTAATTTCAACGTACATCGAGGGAAACTATTTTTATTAGCACAGAACTATCAATTAACATGTTTACACGCTAAAAATAACTTACTTTAATATCTAAATGAACAATTGATTGCGAATGTAGAAATGAAACAGCCTTTATAAGTTGTCTAGATGCTTCAACAACGATACTTTCTTCAAGGGATTCTTCGTTATAATGGACGTAATGATAGAGATCGCCTTGAGAACAACTGAAAATTAATTACGACAGTTAAGTCTGAGCACAATTAAAGGACTATTCTCAAAGTAAGTATTCCCATAATTTTAGTCTTAAATAAACATTGGTGTCAAAGAGACATGTTTATATAGGTTAAACTGTGTACCTGAGTCACTATTGTAGACTTAAGTATTCCACCTGGTTCAAGTAAACACATCACATCTTTCGTTAGTGAAATTCCATGCATTACAAGTATGTGGTATATGCTTTTCAGGTAAGTATTGGTGAAATTGGCAAACGGATTTTACTTAACACTGTAGTCGATTATTACAATTAACCTAAAATTAAACAACAAGCAATAAGGTTATCTGAGAGCATAATGCAGCTCTAGTATAAAAGAAAAATGAAATGATCAGTTAGACGATAACGATATGAACATCGGCGTAAAATACTTAAACTTATGAACTACTTCCAAAAGTTGACACAAGAAAACGCTGGTACAGTGAACGATGATTTTGACCTTGAGTCATGTCCAAAAGATAGCTTCTTGTACTTTACTAAGAAGGGCATTTTCAAACAGATACTAGCTTAGTACAACTTTCCTTCATCTCACTGCATCACCTTACGTGATGAATAGCGTAGAAAGTCTGTGTCAGAAGCGGACACTTTTGTGAAAGTCAAGGTGACAGAGACAGACTGTAGCTTTACACACTGAATGGCAGAGAAGCGAAATAAATATAAATCGAATAACGATAGAAATGAAAATGTCATGATAAAATAACAAGGACGATATAATGACAAAGGTGGTATATATTTATACATATATCAAGCACTTGTTCAAAAAAATATCTGCAGTGTTCTACTGAAAACTAGGATGCTGGTTGGGGAATGTAGCTAGCTTCAGTAAGCATCAGCACGCCTATTGCCATAAAAATGCTTAGTTCGGGTAAAATTATCAATAAATACAAAAATCCGGCAAAAGCGTACAGCATCCAAGAAGGTGGACAAGTCTGTCCATTAGTCAGTCGGTCTCTTCTTTTCAGGGTTCGGGAAGAATTTCGGCTACAGAGACCAATAGCGCCCCGAAACATCCATGTGCTCACAAGATCAATGAACAAAAAATATAGCCTAGCTTAACTACTTAGAAAGTCACTTCTTAAATCGATAGACCAGAGCATAATTAAAATTTAAGGTAAACCATTCATCTATTAGATGTAGATATGTTAATTTTATATTTAAAGCAAAAATGTTCAGTGAGTTACATATACTAAGGAAATTGCACCGCAGCAGCAGTGGCGTCCAATTGCCGAAAATACTAGGGATTTCACCTGCATAAGATAACACCGGACATATTCCTATCCACTTACTTTTCAAGGAGTAGAACAACTTCCTTGTCACCAACGTAATAGTCCTTCATTTTTACAATGTAGGGGTTATGGTGGCTAGTCATCACAACCTCGATTTCCTGCATAATACTTTCCATAGTATCCTTGCCACAACGCCACCGTCTAATCATTTTGGCTGCAGATAATTCTCCACTTAAACGATGTCTCACTAGTGATACTTTGGCAAATCTCCCTCTGCCATAAAATTAAGTATAATTAGACTTAGATTTTTACCTTCCTATCTCGTTTTCAACGATAAAATCGTTCTTAAACTGTTCAAATTCGTGACTACTTCCAAGTGATCCACCATTCGTGTAACTTGTTTGAAAAGTACAACAAGACATTCCGAACAACTAAACGCCCACCTTGAGAAAATCTGAGGTAAATTCAAACTCCCGCTGTCGCGCAACAAAATTGAAAAGAAATGTACTTAAACGAGCAGTGGTTAGGCTTTGACTTAATTATATGTCTAATAGTATGTCACTCTCACCAAAGGATGTTAAAAAGGCAAAGTTCAACAATAGCGTCCCGACCAATCATTACAGTGAGGAGTTTTTGCACAAAATTGATGAATATTCACAAGAAAATTAATGAAAACACATTAAACAGGTTTTCTTTCTCTGATATGACTTAAACATTCATCCAGGTTATTATGATGAGTTTCAGCTGTTAAGTTAGACTCCTTCCTCTCTCTCCTGTTGCGCAATCTTCCCCAAAAGCCCTCGGTTAAATTACTATGGTTTCCAGGAAGAGGATAGACGACTACTTAACAGTAAAATGTGGGTAATAAAACAAATTGAAATAAATGACATCAACTATAAATCTATCTCCAGTCTTAATCCTCAATTTACACCTGACCCTAACCATATCTCTTATCCAAACCGTAATTCTAACCCTAACCTCAATACTTACCTTTACCTAATCCTTACCCTAACGAGCTATTAACACATTGTCGAAATAGCACTTAAAAATGTGATCTTGGAGAAATTAGTTGCCGAGCTGGCGAATAGCATTGATATCCCAGCTTTGATGATGTTTGTTGCCGTTAGCCAACGACTAGCATGCGTTCGAAGTCATTGGAGCGTTCGCGCTCCTGGAACGCTATTATTGAACTTCGCCGTTAAAATTGGTCATTCAGTTTTCTGTTTGGTTAAAAGGACTGATTTGCTCTCGTCTTAAATAAATTACTGCAACACGAAATTCAGTATCCAGAATACCCAAACAAATTAATCCCTCTTCCCAGCATTACCTGAGAGATTCACTGAACTGTAGTGTGTTCACTTTCGATAGATGCCTGCCGTAGCTTTTATTTAAATGCAAAGATTGATTTGAACCCCGTGTTATGTCCATGGAGCTACTGTGACCGAATATAGCTCTTTCGTTCCTGTTTGTTCGGCATAGTGAGAGACAATTAGACGTAGGCGGTAATAAAAATATGGACAAGTTGGTGAGGTAAAAATAATTTGACATACTATCGGAATAAACCATAGAGTAAGATACTGCGGAGAATTCAAGTGACTTAGGAGTCAAATTTAGTTCAGATCAACAAATGTGACCAGTAAAATTTAGTGTTATGAATGCTATTTTAAAAATGCCTGCACTCCTCGGTAAGACTATATCCTTTCATTTTCCAAGTTCAGTGAGGTTGAACGATGTGAATCTGGACTCCACTCAAGACGACTTGGCCAGCTACAGTGAAACTGGCATGAACATATAAAGGAGGACAAAACTAAAGAAAGTTATAGAACCAACGCATCCTCAGATAGTTTTTCTCCACAAGTGTTATCATTAGGGGATATTCAAAGACCATTGTTATCTCAAGCGACAATGTTCCCCGTTCTTACACCTGGTTTGAAACACTTACAGGATAACATAAAGTTAGTCACTAAAGTAGTAGTTTTAGGAGACTGCTATGCCCTTGTCAGTGGAACACTTCGCTCGAATCTGGCTTACTTCAGAATATCTGTTTACGGGCCAGGCGATTTTGTTTACATATGCTTTTTTTTCTTAATCTATCTATGTTCTCACTTATCAAAACATCGCGCATCATAATGTCAATGAGTTACTCCTACTTTTAAGAATATTAATAATTTTTCTTCTTTATCTTAATAATAATTTATATTTTGTATAAATGGGTGAGTTCACAAGAAATGCATGCCATTTTTGCAGGCGTGATCAGTAATGTTAAAAATTACAATCCTGAAGTATCATAAATTAATACTTTTTCAAAAGTTTGAATTGTTCAATTATTGTACAAGCAACCAGAACAGGTTCTTACCAATGCTAAATTGTAAACTGTTTACTAAGGACACCATCAAAGTTGAGTGATAACCCAAACTTCGTTTCGTTTCCTGATGATATTAAGAATCTCTGGTGCCCTTATATCAACCCTAACCCTATGCTCTTTAAACTTATTTTACACATGCCTATCACAAATATGCCACTGCATTATTGGATGTTGTTTTTCGTTTGCCATATATACAAAGATTTGAGTGAAATCACACTTTTATTTCCGCCTTGCACTTTTCGAAATTTGATTTCTTCAACAGGATATCTTTTCAAGATTTTGCTTGTGCTTATTAATACAACGTTATCCCCATCTGATTGCGCACAGCTTTAATCATATCACAGAACGTAAATGAGAGAATTAACTACAGTATTAATGTCATATCAACTACACTATAACGCTCGTTACCTCTCCAAAGCTCATTTTGCTAAAATTACGCACTATCCTAAAAATTGTTTCAACTTAAACTGACTGTTTTACCCATTTATTGTAGTGCTAGTTTTTTTGCTAATATGGGATGCTGCGGATGCATTGCTACCGATAAAAATAACTGCTAATCTGTTCATCAACTTATCTTAAGTGGACTGCATATTGACAAAAGTATAATTCAAATGCATGTGAGTCTTTCAAATTTACGAGCCAATATAAGAAATAATCCTTGTTTGCGATTATGTCAGTCGATATTTTTCACACGTAACGAGTACGTATGGCAGCTGTTTAGAAACGGTTGAGA